ATACACCAAAACCAATTTCAATTGTGGAGCAGTATAATCATTCTAATAATCAGGTGAAACCAGTGCCTCCCAGCTTACCAGCTTTTCCTTCTAATGTTCCTATCAAGAGGATGCCACAAGAAGACTTACAAAAACAAAGAGATATGGGATTTTGTTATACTTGTGATGAGAAGTGGACCTCCAAGCATCGTTGCAAAGCTAAGATGCTGCTACTAGTGGGAGACAGTGAAGAGGTGGCTGCAGACATGGAGGAACAGATTGTTTGGCAACCAGATCAGGTTCATCAGGAATTTCAGGATGCAGCTTTTCACTCCTTGGAAAGTGAACAAAATCCTAGAGCTCTGTAATTCCAAATTTATTTTGGAAAAAGGTTAGTTCCCATCCTTATAGATTCAGGAAGTACCCATAATTTTGTTCAGAAAAATATTGCTGAGGAATTGGGCTTGTCTATGGTCAAGGTTCTTAGAATGAGAGTATTTTTAGACAATGGAGAATTTTTAAACTGTGAAAGAAAATGTCCAGAAGTTCCTTTGAACATACAAGATCGTTTTTATATACAACCACCTAACAAACTACCTAGCCACCTCATCACATGCACAGACTAACTACCTACCGTATGACCCATATCAAAAATACAAGGTATAGGACCCATATCAGTGATACAAAGTAAGGTATCCTATCAGTAACTCTATTACATGATTACAAAGTCTTTCATCCATGAAGGAGCACTTGTTATTCTTCTTCTTGCCTTCGTATCATAGAGCCTCAGTATTACAAGTTCAATCTTTACCGTCTGTCATTTAATTAATAATTAATTAAGTATCGTGGAGTAGGTAGGTTGGTCTGTGCATAATCCACCCTTCAAGTCCAATAAACTCTCATGTGAAAGAATATATTAGAGAATAATATAAATTATTAAAAACTACCTTATAATATAAATCATTAAAAACCACCTTACACTTGAAATGAATCTTCTTGTTATATTTTTGCCTATTTGGGTTCTGAGTTCTTTTTCTTTTTTTTTCAACAATTCTTCTTGCTGCATCCTCCATTTTTGTTTCTCAATAATATTCATCAATTTTGTTTCGTTGTTCCTGCATTTTCTTTCTTCTTTTGTGCCGAGGATATGTGATAGAACAACATAGTACAGATTTATAGTTATTTTATACAATATAATGTTTTCTTATATTACTTCTTGTTATTCGAAAATTTGGGAAAAAGCACTAATTCATGGCATTGCAAGTACTCTCATGGCCTCGACACTCTTTGCTGACAAAAATGGCAGATTGTGAATATCTATTTTATTTTCTTTTTTTATAGGGTCTTTTTCAAGTATTGTTAGAAACTACAACGCATCCTACTATTTATCTATTTAGGCCAAGCTTTGAGCTTTCTTCTTTATGCAAATTAATCGAAGAGTACTGTGATGTTCTGTTGGGTTGTAAACAATTTTTTTTTCCAGAAAAAAAAAAAAAAAAAAACTAGGTGGTATAGTGTTGCATGCTTTACTCTTTGTTCCTACATTTAAAAATACAATTAATGATAATTGATGAATCAAAAACCTAAAATAGTCATTTCCTTTGTCCAAAATTTCTCTAGCGAGGACCGTTTGATGGCATATGGCAGAGGCAGCCTTGGCTGCTGAGAAATGTACAAAAGAAGTATAATTTGAGAAATGTACAAAAACCTAAAATAGTCATTTCCTTAGTCTTGCATATCTAAGATTCAGTCGAGTGTCATGCATCATCACGTGTTATTAAAATATTTGGCATGCCCATTAATTAGACGGTAGAAAGAAGAGAATCAAAAGCTAATAAAGCCATTAATTAATGCTATATTGCTATGGTCATATGTCCAAAGCCCCAAGCCGAAGGAGAGGGAATAGGGAAACTTCACAGAAGACAAACTTTTAATCATTTCTGTACTCGAGCATTTGAGAGGTGCTTATAATTATCCTGAACCGCGGCTGTGTTTAATTGGTTGTTGAGAAAAAGTAAGAGAGAAAAATATTGTCGGCAAATGTCATGGGAGAGAAAATAAATTTCAGTGAAAAATAATACTATTAAGTTTAAGGCAATGCTTTTCTCATGTTACATGAGATAGCATTGTCATTGTCTCACGTAGAGACATAATTAGGTGGGTTCTATAATTAAAAGAAAAAAAAATTATTGGCTCGGATTTCGATATATGTGTAACATAAAATAAGATTTCTCATGTGACATGAGAAAAAAAATTTCTAAGTTTAATTGTAGGGTGAGTAATTGACTTATGATTTGTACCAACCCTTACCCACATTCAGTTGCGGATCTATGTGTGTGCAAGTGTCCACACAAATTTTTTGGAGAAAAAAGAATAAAATATATTTTGGATCATCAACAAAAATTACAAGACCCAATTTAATCTCTTAAAAAAAAGTCGACTCGTGATCCCTTTAAATTCCAAAATACACTCATGTTAGTCTTTTTGAGGGATTAATGTGGGTCAGAGGACCATGATTTTGATTATCTAGGTTTATTTTTGAATTCTGAGGGATCAAGAGTAGACTTTTTTTTTCCTAAAAGATTAAATCGAGATCCGTAATTTTTGTTGAGGACCCAAAATGTTCTATTGTAACAGTTTAATTGACTCTTGATTACTTTTTTTATATTAAGTTAAAGTTCTCTTTTCTTTTTTGTTTATATTATTTTGTATTTTAATATATTTACAATTTTCTTTAAAAAAAATTCCTTTATTCTTTTATTCTAAGTGTGTAGACATTAAAAAAAAATTATAGGTCCGCTATTGCCCACATTGTTTGAGATTTGCAGATAAAGGTTTAAAAAAAAATCAAAGTTATTAAAATCGGATCGTCCAGCCGATCCGATCAGTTGGTTTAGAAATTGATCCATTAATCGGTCTAATTTCAACAATGGATTTGATATGATGATAAACCGTGGTTTAATCGGTACCGATTTTCTTTCTCAAACCAGTTTGTGAAAATGCATACACAAAATGTTTCACATATTTCATCCAATGTTATTAAATTTGGAGTGGTTATCGACTTGATCGGGATACCAATTCAACTAATGAATCACTGGTTGAACCGCATTATCCGGATAGATATATATATAAATTTATACTCAATTATATAATAAATATTTTTAATGCAATTTAACAAACAACCCAATATAGTGTAGTTGTAACTTGTAAGTACTATGATTTATATTCCCCTAACAAGGATTCGATACCACTTGCTATAATTTCAATAACAATTTGCATAAGTTGGGATTCGAACCTGCATTGTTGAGAATAACAAATATAACACTTACATCAGTTAGGCTACATTTAGTTGTTTATTATATAATTATAAATATTTGAGTATAATTGAGTTGTTTGTTAAATTGCACCATTAAAAATATTTATTATATAATTGAGTATTGTTGGGCTGTATAGGGGAGCTCATGGAGGGAAGAAACCGTCAACCATGAGCCAAGTGAGCAATGACATTAAGTGGACTCGAAACACTACAATCAAACTCAAAATCTTAAGGTATTAGGTGCATGGGATCCATCCACTTATATAGTGCTCACTTAGTCCATTTTTAATAAATATGATATTTTTCACTCAATCATTCACATTTAGATTCATCAACAAGTATAAATTATAAATTTATATATATATCTATTTGAATCATGCGGTTCAACCAGTAATTCATTGGTTGAACCAATGATCCACTGAATCGATATCCCGACCGAGTCGTTGAGCGGTCCGAATTTAATAACATTGAAAAAAATTATTATCTAGGAGGGCAGAAGAGATAGAGTCATGCTAAATGTGAATCATGGAAAGTAGCACATATTGAGGGCACTAGTTTAAATAAGCTAAATGTGACAAAATTGATCTTCTCGAATAATATTTCATTTGTAGAGGATGTCAGTCATGGAGATATAAATTAATAATAATTTGTTTACTGTTTATTTTAATATATTATTTTATCATCGTTGATTTATATTTCATGGCTGAAATATTGTTACCACAGCTCATGTAAAGGTGAGAAAATCGATTCTGAAACCCACTACTAACAAGTAATAAGATGGAAGCGCGTGTAAAAGTCCAAAACCATTTCTATTTATAGCAGTCTCCCTTGGTTTGTAGTGGCCCGAATCGCTTATGCATGTTAATTTTGTGAAACCATTCTCCATCTGTTAAGATTTGCCTCAGGATAAGAGGACCCAGCAAACACCATTTAGCAAAACCTGCCGACATCATTGGGGATTGCCCTTTTCCTAGTATAGAGAATAATTTGCATCCTCTGTTTATCTTTAACAACGTGGTTAAGCTTATAAATGGCATGTCAAGAGATAGGAAAAATACTGGTATAAATTCTGCACCCATAGAAATCACTTTCAATCCTTAATCGGCAAATTCATTTTTCTTCTTGGATTGATCAATATGTCATGTTTAAAAGCCCAAACTGTTCTATTAACACCCCGTTTCTCACTGAACAAAACAGAGTTATTATAAGTTCAAGCTGATAACTACTAAACAAAAAATAATAATAATAATAATAATAAAAAACCGGAATTCCGGAAACAGATCTCCCTGATTTGTTTGGGTACGAGTAAGACTAGAATATATGTAGCTTTATCTTATCTATTTTCACAGAGAAATTATTTCATGGATTCGATATTCTTTCCCCAATTTGCTTCAGGGAGTGATGTATAAGCATTGATTATACATAACCTTACTTTTACATCTCTACAAAAAGAATGTTTCCTAGATTCGACACCCTTACCCTTACATTTTTTGCAAAAAGATTTTTTTCTGAATTCAAACACCTTCCATTCACAACGAACATCCTTTCCTCTAATTTTACACAACTTGAAGGAATTTTTTGCAATCTGTTCAAATGCCTAGAATAAAAGTATATAAACATGCAATTCTAAGCTTCATTAGTCTTCAACCAGTGTAGGATTCAGTAGTTGTACAATATCTACGGAGTAACAAATAGCCAATCCATATCAAGTGGCAAAGACAATAAGTTGGAGAACAATAGACGCATTGATAAATTCAACTCTTGTACAAAATAAGCTTTACTTTCATCAAGGTCGAGCAAATTTTATCTATGAATGGTGCCTCTTCCCTAGAAACTCAAATTGGGAGGGTGAACCAAAATGAATGGTGCAGTTAACTACAAGAAAAGTGCCAAAAAGAAAAATAAAAAATAAAAAAAGGTACTTTCATTTTAGTAAAAGTAAAGGGTTCAGTACATACAAAACAGAATGCTCAAATGACATCTAAAGTTGTTAAATTTGGTGGCTATTGTTTTGCTTCAAGGGCTGCAAAGGTTCTTCAAATCCTCTTCCTTTGCATACCAGGTTGGTATTATTTTTGAAACATGGGGATAAAGATCCTTGTACGAGTTCCTAATGGTTCCTTCTGCAACTCCAGTGGCAAACGATATATCTGCACCAACACAATGGGTCAGATACATATTCACAACAGCATAGCAGTTAACTCTTATAATAAAGAATAGCTGCATACATATGAATGTTTCTCTAGAAACCTATTTGAAATCATTTTAAATTCCAAATTTAAATTCACCACATCAACAACTAAGAAATTAGAGAGACAATTTTCACAAACAATTAATCCAATTAATATGTTTGTATTCCACGCCTTCATGTTTCCCTCTAATAATTGGCACAGACCTTTGAGAGGTTTTTTATCTTCTGAAAGCTGAGTTATGATGTATATAACTGCTGCAGCAATTGATATGGGACTCCTCCTGGCAGATTAAACATGTTATTAGAATCAACCATAAGAATATAATAGCATCCATCCGAAGATCATGGGGTACAGAAAAAAATTAGGATTCAGGAAAACATTAAGGTAAAGTGGAACAGAGTACGAGTTTATGACAGTGAAACCTAAAAACGTGAGAATGGATTAAAAGAGGATATGCAATAATTTATGTCCTTCAGAAGTCATTGTTGTAAATTTTAGGAGTGACCCAGTTACATGTGTAACACATGGATACATGGATATACATGTCTCCCAGAAGTTCTGAACCCAAAACTCACCCTTTGCCTAATTCATAATAAATGGCAAAGGAGTTTAAAACCAAAGCTATTTTATACAACCCTTGACCATTTCCTCATTTAACACCTCAGAGGCTTCACTTATCTATCACACACACTCCTCAGAGTTTCCACTAATCTCAAACATGCCACATGCTCTTCACAATTGCACTACTTATAATTTGCGGTGACTCAGTTACATGTGTAAGTGTAACACATTGATACATGCATATACATGTCTGACAGAAGTTCTGAAACCACAACTCACCCTTTGCCTAGTTCATAATAAATGGAAAAGGATTTTGAAATCAAAGCCATTCTATACAACCCTTGAGCATTTCCTCATTTAACATCTCAGAGGCCTCACTTATCCCACAAACTCCTCAGAGTTTCCACTAATCTCAAACATGCAACATGCTCTTCACAGTTGCCCCTTCTCGAAAACATGCCTTACACTAATCATAGTTTCCACTTCTTCCATAGATGCAACACACCCTCCAACTTCTTCCCAAAGGGCAATATGGCTAAATCTAAAGCTAATTGCACAATCTAGAATACTTATAAAGCCCTAATCTTTAGCTGATATTATTGGTTAATTTTATCACAGAAACACTGCCCAGCGTTTTAACTTTTTCACCTAAATTTCCTCTTAGAAGAGACATTAGGTTTCATTGAATTCATAATCAAGAATAGCTGTACACATATCTTGTATTAGTATGAAAAAGTAAACTATACGACAAGTCAATATTTAGCAGCGAATATCTATTTCAGTCTCTAAAGAAATACAAGACAAAGTAAAAGTGACCTTATATCAAATTCTTCTGATTTCTGAACAGCCTCCTGTGCAGCTTTAACAGCTTGATTATTCATACCAAGGTTTGAACAAAATCGCCTCTAAAGATTGAGATGAAAATAATGTTAATGGTACAAAAAAAATAAAATTATATAAGCAAACATAGCAGGCTGTGCTACACAAGTACAGATCAATAAAGAAAACTCACCATAAAGTCTCCAGCATGTATTGTTCCCATCTCCACAGATTGACCTTTTTCCAAACCCAGTTGTTTCACTATGTATTCTTTTGCTCTGCCAATTTCCTTCTTTGTTGCTCCATTGGCAACAGAGCAAATTTCTATTTGAAATTCATAGGTTAAGAATAACTCGTTCATATAGGAAAAGATAAACCGGAAAGCATCTAAATATTAGAAGAATCATAGGCTGTACCCTTTACAGTGCGAGGCTTGTCTTCTTGTCGACAAGCTATGTAGAGGCAGGCAGCCAATAACGCGTCCTGATTTCTTCCTCTACTAGACTTCTGATCTTCAACCCTCTTGTATATCTCATTAGCTCGATCCTTCAAATCAATTGCAAAACAATGTCAAGAGGACTAAAAAAAATACTAACTTTACATGAAATTTGAAGGTGAAGAAGATAAGAGAACAAAACTAAAATAATTGTTTCAAGGTGCAATTGACACAATGCAAGGAATATTGACATTGTTCTTATAAGCTTCACATAACGGGAGGGTGTGAAGAAACATTATCCAGTCCTTCTCTCCATCAGTTAGCATCTAGTCATTGCTCGTAACTACTTGCTTTACGAACATCATTGTTTAAAACAGCATGCCCAGACAAGTTTCACCAGCTTTGGGGACAAATTTTAAACTATTTTATATATTTTCAAAAGAAAGTTTTTATGTTTTAGCTCCCATCACTTCTGCACAATGCATAATAAATTTTTCAAAGCTCAAAGGCCAAATGATCCAAACCACACTAAAAGTAGGATTGCAGTCTCTCCTTTTTTTGGGCATAAAAAGCATTATAGTCTCTTATCAAACAGCCCTGTTGCTCAATACTATCCAATTTAACAAAAGCTACAATAAGAGGAGGATAATATCATTATAGCAAACTTAATTGGAGCTTCCATGCCTACAGTCAATCACAACGATCACATATGCAGTGCATACACATATATGCAAGTTCATGAAACTTGTCCTCAAATGATTTAAAAAATATGGGAGGAAAAAAGCTATCCAGATGAGAACATGCGATACCTTGATGGTTGCAACGAGTCCCAACCTGAAATTTTATCAGCCACGTCAGCAAATTTCACAGTTGTCTCATTCAAGAAAAAATAAAGACAAATAGTCACATTTTCTAAGAAAATCTAGGGGGGGGGGGGGGGGTGGAATTTGAGAATTTAGCTTTAATAGGTCAGGATCATTGTACACCGTTGTAGATTGTACACCTATTTATATCTAACAATTCTGATTTATTAGATATATGAGCTGTTAGATGAATCCAAGATTTGGGGTAAGATTTCTTATTTTTATTCTTAATTTTACACCGCTGTAAGAATAACTTCCATGTCATACTGGTTAAATTGAACAAAAAATAACCAAAGATGTTATGAGAAGGGAAAGACAGTATAATGTTCAAGGCTAAAATTTTTAAAGTAATAATAATCGCAAAAAAACAGATTGATCAATTTGGAATGTCAATGTAGACATGCTGAAACCTGAAACATAGCTTTTGATTTCCTTTTCCTCCACCAATCACTTAGGTTAAGATTAAGATAATGTTAGGTTCATATCTTTAGCTGCATTTATATTATTGGGTTGCGATGATCCTGGTACTCAGCCCTGCCTTGCTAATCTCTGGCAACATTGAGTAGCCAGAATTTACATCCCTAAAATGATTTTGAGTCGCTAATCATGTTGAAACTATTTCAACACTAAAACAACCAATTGGATTCATGAACAAAAACAAAGTAATTCCTTCACCCTTAAAAAAAAAAACCGTTGAAAATTTTGCGTTATGACATTCTTCTCCTACTTTCTTTCCTTTCAGGAAGAAACCAAATCAACCTTCAGGATAAGTCAAGAGATTACATCAACAAACTGATCCGGATTTAATTTTAAAATCTGAGTTTCATTTCGAAGGCATAAAATGAGGAAACCCTAGCTGACCTATCGGACATGGTGGCGATGGTCTTGAAGGCGAGGATCAAGCCGCGATCGGGGTTGGAACCGCGATTCTGCCAGCGGCCGAGGGAAGAGGAGAGAAACTCGCCGGAGGCGCCGTTGGGTTTGGCGATGACGGTGGAGAGGCCACCGTCAGTGAGGAGAGGGTTTGTGGGACCCCCGACACGAACGGGATCGTTATCGCCGGACTCGTTGGCGAAGGTTCGCCACTCAGAGGTCTCATCAATGGAGTGCGACTCCAAGACGAGACCGCACTCCGAACACACCGTGTCCCCCGCCGAGTGATCGCACACCACCTCCGTCTGCCTCTTACAATCGGAGCAGAACGCATCAGACATGGTTCCTTTCTCTTTCTCTTTCTCTTTCTCTCTCTAGGGTTTCAGGAACAGAGGGAAAATTGTTAATGGTTGGTTGTCGTTAGATTAATTAGAGGGAGTGAATTTTATTTTTTTTCCTTCAGTTTCTTACTTTCTTTCTTTTCTGGGTCGTTTTGTGTTTTTTCTTATGAAACGGTAGAGAGAGGATTGAACAACGGAGTTAGTGTGTGTGTGTGAGAGTATTTATTTAACATTGCGAGTTTTTCTTTCGCATTTATAGCCTTGAAAATAAGAGGGTGAAAAAATTTATTAATAATAAAAATTAAAAAAAAGAGTGGGTTGAGTTGTTTTGTTTTGTGTGTGAATGGTTTTGGTTTAGGAAAGTCATGTGGTTTTCGTGGAGTTGGGAGGATTAGAGTGTGTTTGGATATTGGATTAAGAAATTGAGATTTTCACAGGGATTTGAACATTTATCAATTGAATCAATTTCTTTTGGTTAAATTTTTATTTTTTTTCTCTTGGATAAATAATAATTATCCTTCACATGAAGTAATCCTAATTAAATCAAGAACATTCATATTATAATGGGATTAATTCTCTAAAAAAAAAAAAATCTTTAGCCATTATTGACTTGAATAGGATTATCCTCCATGAAAAAATACATGCGGCTCATCAAAACAAACAAAAATTTAGATTTTCCGTGATATCTCTCCTTCCCCAATTGGTTGGTTCCGACTCCGTTTGCATGCTTTCTTTATTGTCATTTGCTCTGATTGTCAAAAAATTAAATTTGTTAAATTTTTTTGTATAAAAAATGGAAAAGTATGTATCATTTTAAAAGATACAAAATTATATCATTTTAAATAAAAAAAGATATACATCATAAAAGAGAGAGCGGGAGAAAAAAGTTTTAAAAATATAAATCTTGTCTCTTTGTGAAAGAAAAAAAACACAAGGTATGTTATTTAAAATGAGATATATTCTTCCTTAAAAAAGAAAATAAGTAATATCTTATTACATAATTCATACTTTTAAATTTCTAACTTTCCTTTTTAATACACAGATGCTAATATAATAATAATAAACATTAGACCCATGTTCATTGTCAAAGGGTATTCAAATTGGACCCCTTCTTAATAAGTGTGTGGGACTCTTCCCATCGACATAAAATACACTAATACAGCACGCTCGTCATATTTTCTTTAATTATAATTTTTTTAATTAAACAATGCTTTCATATATTGATTTTACTATTTTTTTATTTTTGGTTCCATTTTTTTTCATGTTATAAGAGAGAATTATTTCTTGTAAAAAAATAATCCTGTATTACGATAGTATATAATTATAATGATAAAATTATTTTTTTTCCGCCACGTCAATCTACAATATCTGAATAGAGAAAAAAAAATAACTTTAATATTATATTTATGTACTATATGTAATATATAGTTATTTTTTTTTAAGAAAAATTTTCTTTTTCAATAATATAAGAAAATGATTACTTTTTTTTTTACATGAAATTGCATTAAGCCGTAACAAAGAACAATAAAATAGGGGCTACTTTTTTTCCTATTGCAACAGAAAAACATCTCCTTTTACAAACCCATAAAAAAATTTGCCTAATCTTTTTTTTTTAGTATGGCGGGTTCCATCATTTTATTTTTTTGTCTCCAAAGTTAATAATTTCTTCTGAAAAACTCTGGGAAAACTAACTAAGCTGGATTTACCACAAATAAAAGATTAAGGTCTGCAGGAAAAATCCAAAAAATTTGTAATCCTCCTGGACAAATGGTGATAATAGGTGATTTACCAGACAGTCAGCACTAGTGTTCGCTTCTTGATACACATGCTGCAGTTGGATGTTCCATGGTCTAGCTAACTATTATTTACTATTATAAAGAGAGTTGATTATTCTTAAAATATTAATATTCCACTAAATAAATATATAATAAACAATAAAATGATATATATTACCATCCTATCCGTTAGAATATTTAGAAAATCTCGACATATCATATGATATTTTGATTATATTTTAGAATAATTTTGTTTAGCATTAGAATAGTGTGGGGAGGAAGAATCAAAACCCCTCCTTTTTCCTCTAGTGCGCCACATGGTTGGCGTGATGAATTCCATTTAGCAGGCAAAGGCATTCTTCTAATGGTGGATTCATTACAAGACCGTGCAATACTTTTGCCATCTTCCTTAACAAGAGTTATGAGCTTGTCCTGACTTCTAAGAAGAACTACATCATTCTCGTGGCAAGGGATGAATGACTTTCTCTTATGTGATGATCCCAAAGATGATGTAGTAAGTGTTGAGTATGGGTCATACTTCGTATTCTGATGAGAGTCCTTTGATGTTGGGGTCGGTAGAAAGGCAACTGGGGTCTCGCTCTTTGTAATCCATTATTCTTAGTAATTTGGGCTTGAGCCCATAAATGACTTTTATTAGGGTTTTCTAATTCTATTTATATTCTCTTTGTAGATCGAGTGACTCGTAACTAATGTCGGTGAAGTGAATATAGTACAGACAAGCTTGACGTAGCCTATATTAGGTGAAACAGGGTAAATCACCATGTGAATATTCTCTCTTCCTTTTCATCTTTTTCTATTTTGCAAATCATGTTTTTTTTTTTTGTCGATTTCCAACAATTGGTATCAGAGCTTTGGTTTTGCGACCGGGGTTCCTGTGGCAAAATGGGGTTTCGCAATTTGGGGTTTTTTTCTTGGCGTGGAGAAAACTGCGAACTTGATCTGGAAAGGATGGCGATTGGCCAATCATGGATCGGAGTTGAAAAATTTGAAGGAAAAAGGTTCGAGTTATGAAAATTGAAGGTGGGGGCTTTACTCGTTAACAGGGACGTGTGGTACATGATCAAAGATGAGAAGTCATCGGGTACTAACAAAAAATGACAGTGACGGAACGTCAGAGGAAGGCTAGTCGAAGGAGTCGGAGGATTTGAAGGAGTGGACTAGAGACAATCGAAAGGTGTGAAACCTGATCTTGTTATGCCTGACAGATAACGTTCTCGTGAACATAACTTTTGAGAAGACCGCGAAGGATCTATGGACAAAGCTGGGAAGTTTCTATCAAAGCAAGTCACACGTGAACAAGATGTTCCTACGAAGGAAGCTGTATAATTTGAGGATGAGCGAAGGTAATTCTTTCTCTGCTTATTTAAATGAAGTTAACATTGCGTGTGCGCAACTTTCATCTATAGATATAAATCTAGATGAGGAAGATAAAGCTTGCACCTTGTTGTGTTCACTACCCAACTCTTGGGAGCACATCATTGTGTAAATTGATACTGGCATTAATAAACTGCCATTCGAGACGATTGTTGCTGCCTTATTGTCCGAGGAGATGAGAAGGGTAAGTTCTGAAGGTACCAGCAATGAGGCTCTAGTTGTTAGAGGGCGGAACGATGACAAATCAAAGTCGGGTCATAGAGGAAGATCGAGGGAACGGTCAAAGTCTCGTGATAAATCTAAAGTATGGTGCTGGAGGTGCAAACAGGTTGGACATCTAAGGAGAAATTGCAGAAATAAAAGCGTAGGTCTTCCTAAGAAGCGGGATGATACATCATCTTCTAGTTCTGGTACAAAGAAGGATAATAGAGATAATGCAGGAGATTTGTAAATGGCGTTCGATAGTCATAGCGACTGCAAATACTGGATCATTGACATTGGAGCATTGTTCCATATGACACCTCATAGGGAGTGATTCTGCACCTATGAATCATATTTTGGCGGAACTGTCATAATGGGAGATGACACGACTCATGTTATTATGAGGCGTGGAAAGGTAAAGCTGAAGATGAATGACGGAACAGTCAAAAATCTGCCGGACATGATACATATTCTAGTGCTTACCAGAAATCTAATCTTCGTAGGAAGTATGGCAAATGCAAGTATTAATTTCAGCAGCGATAAATATTTTGGCAAGCTAACTCGGGGAGCTTTGGTGATTGCAAGATAAGAGTGCCAAGGTAAACTGTTGAAATTGCTGGGTAGCATAGTGTTCAGTGGTGAAAGCTACATAATGGAACAGGCAGAAAAGGACACTGTTATGTTATGGCATATGAGGCTGGGGCATATTGTAGAAAAAGATATGGAAACTCTGACATCAAAGAAGCTGATGGATGGAATTTCGAGTTGCTCTATGGAGTTTGGATTTTGCGAGCATTGCCTACAAGGGAAGCAAAATCGGATATCTTTTGATTCCATAAGAGAAAGAGCTGAGGGGATTTTAGACCTGATACATAGCGATGTGTTTAGCCCTACACCTATTGCATCACATGGAAAATCAAGGTATTTTGTTTCTTTTACTGGTGATATTCCAAATATGTGTGGTTATATTTCTTGCGTAGCAAAGATGAAGTGTTCGATAAATTCTGCGAGTTCAAGGCTTTGGTGGAAAATTAGTTTGACCGAAGAATCGAGGTGTTGAGAACTGACAACGGAGGGGAGTTTGTTCAACAAAATTTGATCAGTTCTGTGCGAGCAATGGGATTGTATAGCATAAGACTACGCCCTACTCATCTCAATAGAATGGGGTGGCAGAGAGATTGAATTGTTCTCTTATGGAGAAAGCACAGAGTATGCTGAGCAATGCAAGCTTGGCAGCTGAGTTTTGGGTGGAAGCAGTGACTACTGCTTGTTATCTGAAGAACAAATCTCCTACAACGGCCTTGAAGGAGAAGACTCTGTATGAAACACTGTTTGGGAAAAAGTTAGACGTATCTCATGTAGAGTGTTTGGTTGTGAAGCATATGTGGATGTACGCAAAGAGAAAAGAAGCAAGCTTGACATTAAATCTGAGAAGTGTATCTTTATTGGGTACAAGGATGGCATCAAAGAGTACAAGTTATGGAATCCTGATACTCGAAGTGTAACTTATAGCAGAGACGTTGTGTTCAGGGAATCTAAGCCGAATAAGATTTTTCCGAAAGCTCCTCAAAAGCAACAAACTGTGGAGTTAGATGTGGGATTTTAAGAGGATGCAGTAAACTCATAGGTTGGAGTGGAAAGTTCAAATTCTGAAGAGGTTGAAGATGAAGATTCTGAAATTGAGGCTAAAGCTGAAGCACCAATATTGAGAAGGTCCACAAGGGATAGAAGACCATCTGAGAGGTATACACCTGAAAACTATATTCTCTATGCTAGTGATAATAATTGTGCCTTGAATATTACGGATGATGATCCAATCACTGTAAGACAAGCTAGGAACTCGGAGGATGCCAAACAGTGGGAGGAAGCAATGAAAGATGAGATGAAGTCTCTGATGAAAAATCAAACTTATAGTTTGGAGAAACTACCCGCAGACCGAAAGACAATTGGTTACAAGTGGGTGTTCAAAAAAAAGGTTGGTGCCAATGGGGAGATTGAGCGCTACAAGGCTCGGTTGGTTGCAAAGGGATATTCACATACATAAGGGGTTGATTATGGTGAGGTGTTTTCACCTGATGCAAAGTTAAATTCCATAAGGCTGGTTTTGTCTGTAGCAGCTGCATATGACCTAGAGGTGGAGCAGTTGGATGAGAAGACGACTTTCTTTCATGGGGATTTGGAAGAGGTTATTAACATGAAGCAACCAGAGGGGTTCATAGTAAGAGGTAAAGATAAGCTAGTATGCAAGCTGAATTAATCTTTGTATGACCTGAAGCAGTCCCGCAGGATGTGATACATGAAGTTCGACACCTATGTGGTGAAGCTTGTTTGTGACCGCTGTGATGCTGATCATTGTATTTATGTGAAAAGATTATAAAGTAACTTTGTTATTCTAACTTTATATGTTGACGACATGTTACTCTTCGACTGTGTCAATATCCTTTTCTCTAATTTCTTGGCCACCCAATCTTGAGTAGCCCTTTTATTTTGGAACACTCTGTAGCATGTGTGTGTCTTATTAAATATTTTTATTTGGAATGTGCTTAGTATGGTGTTCCAAACACAACATACCATCCATTCACAGTCTTCAATACTGCATTTTGCCCTCACTGTGACATTGTCATTCTTTACCCAGATAAACTGTCTCCCAGGACTAATGTTATAGTCTTTCACTGCACATTTAAAATGCTCCAAATTCAAAAACTCCATGCCAAGTTCTAAATAAACATGACCAAAGGCATCATGTTCATTAAACTTTGGTAATACAAGTTCACAAGTCATCATTATCACTTGCCTCCTTAATTCCTCAGAAAGATAAGTATATCCATCTTCTTCAAATGACATGTGCTCTTTTTCTTCACCAATAATTTCCTTTGAGTCTTCATTGCTGCCATCCTTCTTACTACTCTTCTTCTTTGGGGTTTTTATTTTGCGGGCTTCTTTTTTTTTTCCACAATGTGCAAACTGATCTCTTTCATCATCTGATTGGTCCTCAACACCTAGGGGGAGGCTTATATGCCTCATCCTCTGCATTTTTATATGAATCCGAAGATGCAATATCATTATTTGCACTGTCATGTTCCGAAGAATGACCACCATCCTTTGCACTCTGATGCTCGGAATTCACCCCATCATCATCTGCACTCTCATGCTTAGAATTCACCCCATCATGCTGTGCATTCTCATTATAGGTAGAATTAACCACATCATCCTCTGCACTGTCATGTCCAGGTGAACCAAACTCAGGAATTGAAATGCAGTCTTCGAAATAGATATGTATCTCATTGCCATTACTAAGGCAACCTCACACATGACACATACATCAGAATCCTTACTAAGAGGTTTGAGACCTCGCTCTAAATCAGGTTCACCAAGTTTTTGTCACATCATTTTTTTACATTTTTCATACCCAAATTCCTTAAACAGAGTGTCAAGGTCACGCAAATTAACATAGTCAATAACCATCTCAACCAATGAGTCAACTTTACCATTTACATAGGTAAGCACTCCATCATCATCTCTAACTAAAACGCAACCATGATGATAAAAAATGACTACTGTATATTCAGTCATCTGTACAAAACAAAAAATAACATAACATTCTTTAATCCGATGAATTCCAAAACTCCCAACACACCGTAATGGAAATAATTTATAATAACCTAGGAATAAAAAAAAACCTAAATAAACAGACAAAGGAACATGCGTTTGTGTCCACTTTGCATGTGGTTTTTGCTAACACTTGGGTCAAAATTCGACCACTTTACTGTAACAGGGACCACTCACTTTAAAGAGTTGCTTATTTTAAACCCTAAACTGAAACATGGACCACATTGTCCACGAAACATGGACAAAAAAAACACATTACACAACAAAAAGTACAGGGGACCACAGACAACAAAGAGCAACTGAAATAAAAAATTCTGCAAAATTCATTACACTTAACTTAAACCGAATAAAGAGCCTTGTACTACACCCAAGTGTGCAAAGCACGAATTCCCTGCGAGTGCTGAAGCGCTGTAGAATCAAAACGAAAAATGTGCAAAGTATACTAGCCACAACGTGATTCACAATTCCTTCTCAACAATGGATGTCAAACTTCCAAGTCTGGGATATGGTAAAATGAACAACGGTTAGGTGAAGGGTACATATGGGTTTTTACTTGTTTCTGCAGCAATGTGGAGGTTGTCCTCCATACGACGACGTTTCTAGTCCAACGTGGTAGGTGAGTTGCCTTACTAACGATACACATCAGCTCAGTTTGTGACGTTGTCGGATTGTGAGCAACGGAAAGACTAACGTGGGACCACTTTTGTCTTTGTTGGGGATTTACAAACTAATTTATTTTTGTTAGGGACCAATAAGGGGATCGTATTTTTTGTCACGGACCCAAATGAGTATTTACTCTTTTTAAGGCGTGGTTTTGACACGTAGGCTACTATTATAAGACACTAAGGGGTTGTTTGGTAAAGGTATGTTTTTAAGAATGCCAGAAAAGTGTAAATGGGTTTCGTAGTTACCTATGTTTGGTAGGAGTTTTTAAATTATTTTCTCAGTCATCGAATTTACCCAAGAATTGCCTTTAGGGGCCGTTTGGTACAAGGGTTTTTTTAGGATTTTCGAGAAACTGAAAGTGGTAATCTTATTTATCCACGTTTGGTACAAGATTTTTAAAATTTTCCTGGGAATTTGATTTTCCCAGGATTTTATTTTGTGTGTAATTTTTTTTGAAAAAACCATCAAGGAATACCATCCAGGAGGTGGTATTTTAAGATTTCTATGATAAGGGAAAATTTAATACAACTAAACATAGCATCAAGAAAATTAACCTAATATTCCCGAAAATATGTTAGTCTACCAAACAACTTTTTGGTAACATTTCCAGAAAACTCATTTTCACATCATATTCTTGAAAATCGTGATTCTCAGATAAAACAAAATTTCTTCTCTGCCAAACGCCTCCTTATGAAAAAAAATGTGTGCTACTTTCCCTTATGAAAATACCACCAAAGAGGTGGTATTTTTGGAATACTAGATGTAAGGATTTCTTGTCAAAAATTTTCAAACACCCAGTTACTTTATGAGGTTATTTTCGTAAAACTCTTCCATATTTTCAGTAATATTTTATTATCAATCAAACATACACAGAAAAATTAACCAAAATTTTCGATAATATTTCAACATACCAAATAACTTTTTCATAACATTCTCGGAAAACAAATACTCTTACCATATTTCCATTAATCAAAATTCCCGATTAAAAACAAAATTTCTCCTATATCAGAAGCGCTAACAGAGATAGCATGTCTTTGGTATAATTGCAACTGCAAGGGATATTTTAGTCTTTAGGGTGGATGGTCAAGTTTTGCTTTGGACTCTGTAATACTATCACTAGTTTGGTAGTGGTTGGCTGGGATTTTCATCTTTTTAAGTTGAGGGCATTCCAGAGAGATCTGAAATCATTGGTGCCGATGATTTGAGAACTACATATGTGTCCTGTGTTTGGACTTTGATCATTTCGAACGATTCAATATCTTATTGGATTTTCCAGTACCAGGTTGTTGGGCTCAAACACTTTCATATTCTCTTTTTACTCAATTGAGCCAATAATGGGTTTTCATTTTTTTATTTTTTTTTTCATGTTGCCATATTAGAGCCTTATAATCTTTATTGATAATGTGATTGTTCAGAAATTTGTGAACTTTCATACATTGGAAGGATAGAGAATTAGAGATGAGAAGTCACTTATTTCTGGGATTCAATCTCTCTCTAATTTTTGGGGATTTTCTCCTCTCTCTCTCTCTTTTTTTGTTGTTGATGAAATTCACTAATTCAGGTTATATATACAGTGAAAAGCCTCTGATCCATTTTGCATAAATTGCAGCCCATCAGCCATAAATAAAATCTTTATGTAAATGGGAATGAAGAATTGGGTTAGGAGTTTGGACTTATTATGACAAGAAAAAGTGGTGTACAATATAATGTGTGCACACATGTGATTGTGAAGTTCATTCCACTAGTGGTGTGCTGTGTGTATAGTCTTCATCTTTTATCTTCCTCTTTTCTGAAGCTCTTAATTTGTCTGTCTCTCTGAAATTTGGAGCAACAGCGAGCACTTTATGGAGTCTGTGCTTGGTAATTGGCCATCGTACAACCCTCACAACTTCAGTCAGATTCGACCTTCGGATCCTTCTAGTTCTTATGTAAGTTGTTTATTTTCTTCAAATTAAATCAAACCTTAATAAGTATTTGATAATCCTTGTGGAACTCATTCAAGTATTCAAACTTTATCACTTATTGAAAATTCTGATTGTGTATGATCCTGAGTTTATGCTCTTCTACCATCTATTGTGATTGAAAGTTTGGTGAAAAGAGAATTGCCTTATTCTTTTTCTTTCATTCCCCTTCTCCCTTTAGTACAAAATTTGGTTGTTAACCATCAAGATAAGACCTTCTTGTTGAACACACTTGCATATTTGAATCCCACCATTCAATTTTGAGAATATTTCTGAAATTGTTAAGTTGGTGGTACTTGGTGTAGTTGTTGTAATCAAAAGAACTTATATTTGCAATCTTTAGGTTTTTTTTTTTTTTTTTATCACATGGAGGATTATCTCTTGACATTCTGATTGTTATTTCGACTTGGATAATTATAATTCGTAACAGACTAACAGTGATTTTCAATTTGTTGTTGGCCTGACGTTGAACTCTTTGGCATTGTTGTTATATGCAGCATTGTGTCTGGGAAGATATCCTTTTCATCGCAATAACATTACTAATTTATCTTCTTCTTTTCTTTATATTTTTGCTACTTTGTCAAAATAGCCATAAAGTAATTGTAAGTTTGAAACTTTTCAAGCATGGGATGATTTTCTATCCTTTTGTTTCTTCTGATTTTTGTCTCTAAATATAATACTGTAAAATTTGACTTTCTTGCCCAATATTGGAGCAATAATAAATTCTTCAGTAACATAAGAGTTTTACTCTTATTTCTAGTTAGTTGAAAAACTGGAATTATATTTAATTTGTCCTTTATAGTATAAAAGTTTCTTTTTGGCTTTCAGCCATACTTGTTTCCATGATACCCTGATATAAATTTATTTGTTTTCAAAAAATTTACCTTCTGATGTATATAGTTGTACTTGTCCTTTATATATACTTGCTTAATGTGTTCCATAAACTATTTTAATCTAAATTTCAAGCAAAAGACATATTACCCATGAAATGAGCTGTTAGCTGTTGAAAATGAAGGTCATTGGATTCATATTGATACCTTTGCTGAAGGATATAAGTACGATTACATGATACATACATAGTTCTTGCTTTTTTATTAACAATGTTATCAATGGGGAGGATGTTTCTCTAATCAATTGCATTTGATAAGGAAGCCCAAATATGACAGATATGATTTCCAAGATAAAGATACTTAAATGTGTCACTGCTTTTCCTTACCAAGTTGCAGAGCTGTGTGTATCTTTTGGAAATTGAAATTTGCTATTTTTTAAATGAGCTATTTTCGGGCCAACTCTTGTTTTTTATGCAAGTTGCTACTTGTTTCATTCAAAAGCATATTATTGATCACCTAATCATATTTTTTATTTGCTTTAAATAAGATGAAATTTCTGTTTCTGAGTGTAGAAAATGACACCAGCCACTTACCATCCTACTCACAGCAGGACCCTTCCATCACCTGATCAAGGTAGTGAAAAGAACTTTCTTCTACTGACTTCCCTAGTTATACTTTGCTGTTTTTAGTTGATTGATAATCCGTTTGAAAAATATGTATATTCCCTTCGGATTTTCCCCTTAATCATGTTTTTGGAGGAGGATCCAAAGTGCATACATTAAATCTTTCAATCACAAAGAAGCAATTTTACCACGGTTCCATTGCATTAAAACCACTCCCTGTTAAACCCGACTAGCGAGTGTGGGGTGGAGAAAATCCTTGTATGCAGCCTTACCCTTGCATATTTTCAAAGAGGTTGTTTCCTGGATTCGATTGCATTACTTAAAAAAATTTGTTTGTTTACTCCCAAAAAAAAAAAAAAAGTTTGGCTTATATAGGAAAGGTAAAAACTAAAAGATGAGGAAACATGATTATTCTTGGTTGCACTTTTTTATTTTGACATAGATGTACATTCAACATTTGCTGTCATGCTCACTTTTTTTTTGTTGTTGGTAGATTCACCGGTGTTTTGTATTTGAGAGTTTGCTAACCTGTCAAAATTTCTTCTGACAGTGATAAGTACCGAGGCCAAAAATATCCTGCTAAGACACATATATCAGCATGCAGAGGAGAAGGTTAGTCTTGTAAGTTAAAGCTCTTATATTTTGGTGCAGGTAGATATGCACATGCTTGTGCACATACCTATACCTACCCATCACGGTGCAGGGATCTAACAGCTGCACATGGCCATTTTCATTGCAGTTGAAACCAAAAAGAGCTGCATCTGATAGCCTTTTACCAGAGCATGCATGCAAGCAACCAAGGGTTTCCACCTGACACTTTTCATTGACCAACTGATGCATGTGATTGTGAGCTACTTTCTCAATGATTCACAAGTGCTTGACGAAGAAGAAGAGTTTGGTGCTTGTTTGATGTGGTGAACTATTTTGGCAGCTACAGACTTTGGAGTATGTAAATTTGAAGTCTATTAACCCGCATCAAAATTTTACAGCAAATGAAATGATGATATGCTTATGTTGTGAATTTGTGTGCCATGCTTCGTGTGCTACACAGTTAACAGCTGCTTCTCCACATAAGTTTGAAAGAGATACATGCTTTCTATTTTAGCATTTTCAAAATGCATCTTTATCTTCTGGATTCTGGAATATGTGGTGCCATAATTTTTCTCGTTAATTTGTTAGTTTCAAAAGTGATTTATTTATATTAGAGAGATATAATATAAAACAATTGAAGGGTCATCACTAAATAGCTTAAGCTTTTAGGTGAGTTGTTTTATTTACAATTTATGTGGCGGCTTTTACTCACATTCCTAACCTTCAAGGGTTCATCATTTATCAACCCATTAAGAATTCAAAGTTCCTTCTAAGATTTAAGTCATCTGGTTAAATAGCAGTACTTAACAGGATTGGTCTAGAAATAAATGGTTATGAATAAAGTTTGATAATCTTGTAACTTGTATTAAAAGAAGAGAACTGGAACTCACCTCATCAATCTTATAACAATTATACTTTAATATACAAGTTGTCTGATGGTTAATCAGCCGTTGTAAATAGAAATATTTTTCTCTTATGAAAAAAAAATGGATAGGTCATCTTTCTCCAATATAAGGGCTTATGGTATTTAAAGAGTATTGGATCAAGCCCATTTTAGAATGTTATACACTCAAAATGCATATAATGAAGATTATGTCTTCTGAAGCGACTAATATTGGTCTAATAATAAGGGATTTAAGTAGTCTTTATGAGTTTATAGATTCAAACTTTACTGTAACTATTGTATCAAAAAAGAGAAGTTGTGTCTTCTGCTCTCAGCAAATTAAACAAACAGAACCGCAAAGAGGTTATGAAACTCAGGAACAAAGTTGACCTATGTTTTCACTAGTCGTAATAATTGTGTATTTCATGAACAAGGATGACTAATTGTCAAAGGTATATAAACAAGTGTTGATTTATAAAAAAAATTAATTTTGGACGACTAAAATATAAATATAGAAGAAGGACTTTGAAGAAAAATCATGTTTTAGGGAAATAAACACACATATAACAAACAATTTTTTTTCTTTTGTAATTTTAAAAATTTTAGTCCCATTCCATAAATATGGAATTACCAATGCAAATTGGGAGGCTTTATATATTAAGTTTCTGGATATTTCGTTCATACAAAACATTTTGAAATTGGCAGTGGAAATTGTTGCCTAAGTAGGAAGAAACAAAAATTTTAAAGCTCTTTCTAGTTTCAACCATGAGATGCCTTTCCCACTTATCCTAGTCATTGATAATTTGTTGTGAATACCAAAACAGAAATCTTCACAAATTACACCTAAAATGAGATGCATTTTCCATTGATACTTTGGTATGTGAAGAACCAGTTAATGTATAATTTTGTTTTGAGGGTCATAATCAAAACCTTTCACATATATACACGCATTATTGTTATTATTGTAAAATAAATATATAGTACTGACTTAAGTAAAAAGAAAAAGAAAATATTAATTTAAAAAGAAATGTTATGATAAATAAATTAAAAATATTCATATTGCTATTGCAACCATAAACGATCCAGAAATCAAAAAAATAAGAGGAAGAGAAGTGGGCGAAAGGACGCCGCCATCATCGCCTCTGGTTTTCAACATTTTGCCGCTTTATGTTATGGGTGGTGGCACACCAGACAGACACTATTATATGGTTCTCTTTTCATTTTAGTTAGTATTATATTTATTGTGGATAACATACATGCATGTGCAGTTCAGTTTGGCATTATGATTCTCTTGTCTTTCTTTGGTGTATTTTTCTTTTCTTAAGTAACATTAAGTTTACAATATTTTTGATGTTAGTTAAGATTAATATATATATATATATATATAAAAGAAAAAAAATTAAAATTAAAATTTAAAAGAAGATAAGATCATAAAGTTATATATGATTTTTTTAAAAAAAATAGAGTTATGGGTATTGTTTTTGGAGAAGGATATACTTGCCACCAAAAAAGTTTACTCCTTTTACAACTAATCTAATTACCGTTGATTTTCGTCAATCTAACGGTTATAATTTATTTGAAATTATTGGGTCGTATTTATTAATTAATTATTAATTCTAAATAAACCTAATAAATTATAACTGTTAGATTGACGAAATCAACAGTGATTAGGTTGATTGTAAAGGTTGTAAACTTTTTTGGTGTCAAGTACATCCTGCCCCATTGTTTTTTGATAAAGAAATTTTGATATTTAATTAAGATTTTAAATGATTATAAAAAATTTATATAGTATTTCATTGTGGCAGTTAAGATTTTTTTAAAAGTCTATCTAAATTCAGTAATACTCGATCAAAATTTTAAAAAATAAATAAATCATCTTTTAGTATTCAAAAAACTATAAATTTAATTGGATTTCATATTAACATAAATTTTTAAATAATTTTTTAATAATATAAATATTTTTTTAACACAAATATAAATATTATTCCTGCCTCATAATTCCACCCTAACGTTTTGAATTTAAAATTACTTATTAATTTGTGAGAATTTACAAATCAAAATAATTATAATTTATATATACTCAACATTTAAGTATGTATTCTCTAAAGTATATATTGTAAATAAAAAATTTCTAAATATAACTCTTTATATATATATATATATATATATATAATATTTTCAAAGCGGAGTTTTTCTTCTAGATAAATTAACCGCCATTTTCTTTGTATATTGTTTTTTTTTAAATGTGTTTACATGCATTGTTCTTGCAGATTCTTTCTTTATTTCTGCCTTATATATGTTAATTTAATTTATTCTATATTAACTAGCCGCCATTTCCTTTATATATTATTTTAAAAAAATCAATTGATAGGCATTGTTTTTTTGCTGCCTCTTTCTTTATTTCTTTATTTTATTTGCTAATGTAATTGCTTTCTTTGTTACCGAGTTGGTCTACGCATGCTATAGTAGTGGATTTGTAATAATTATAAATTGCACTGAGGTATATTTTTAAAGGATATAATTTGTATTTTTTTAATGAGTTTATTTTATGTCTTGCTGATAAAATAAAGTGTTAATACAATTTTTTTTTTCTCTCCAATTACATCAGTTGATGTTAAAGTGAAAAAAAGAAAATTTTCACATAATAACTGTCTTATTGATAAGATATAATGTAAGATACTAAGATGACATAAGTTATGTCTTTTAAAATGACATCGACAGCACCCTAAATTGTAATTTAAGATTTTCCCCCATTAACACGGATACTTAAATGAGTGGTTCTCTAAAAATTATTTTTAACTAAGGAAAATAAATTTTTTATCACTGAAATCAATAGTTATTTTAAAGTGATCCATCTTGTATGTGAAACAAACATAGTTCGAATAAGATCAATCAAATAAACAATAAATAGATTGGAAATAAATAAAAAAGACAATTATCAGTTGGTGGAAATTTTCTTTAATGTTGATTAGCCGTCATTCTTTATATAATTTTATAAAAATATGTTTACAGGCATTGTTGTTGCAGCCTCTTTCATTATTTCCTTATTTTATTTGCTAATTTAATTGCCAGTTTGCCACTGCTTCAATTACAGGTTTAGAGAGTTTTATATTAGCATTTGTTTGGAGAGTTGAGTCATTATTGCTGTGGTAGATGGCAGTTTTGGAAACAATACTTCCACTGATATTCCCAATTTCTCTAATAATTTCTTAGTTGGCCAGTTGTTGCTACCACTGCTTTTCTGGTGGCGTTATTTTATTGTCTTTCTAACTTTTCTGGTGGTGGCTCTTTGAATTCCATTTTTATGTGTTTATATATATTTTTTGCTATTTATTTTTTCATTATATTCAGCATGTTTCGAGGCTTGCACTTGAGATATATTTTGTCATTTTTAGGTGAATTTTTTAAAATAAATTATTTCTCCTATTATATGAGATTAAATTATCTTCAGTAATTTCAAAAATACATCATTTTAAATATATCACAGGAATTTTGATTGTTTATTTGTTAAATAATTTAATTTTCTCAATCCTCAAAATGATTTAATTTTAAATTTGTTGAAAGTAACTTCATCTTTTTATGACACGAGAAACGATAAACTTTTTTTTAATTGTGGTTAAATGAAGAGAATGCCTCTTGTATTTTGGTGTACACAATTTTCTCGCAACAAAATCTTAGATGATGTGTTAATGGCTGTAAATACGTTAGTTGAATAATTAACATAATACTTTCTAAATGTTTAGAAAAAAGAGAAATTCTAGAAGATAATTATGGAGCTGACTTACCTTCAATTTTAAACGAATAAAAATAAAATAAAATAAAATATACAAATATTAATTTGCTGCTCACGCCAGCCGCGTAAAATAAAGCGGTTCATTCCTCACATCCCCCATATGCGAATGGGCAGAGAAATTTGTGGGTTACCCAATCAGGAATTAGGCGATCTTACTGGAGGGTGGAGGGGAAGGATTCATTTATTTTATTTTATTTTTCAGAAACTTACAAAGATCATTGTAAGATGGAATTATTATATTCAAGTTTATTTTTGGCTTTATTTTTTTGAAAAGATTCTCTTATCATTTGACAAGAAGAGATAACCCCCCAATAAAAATATATATTTTCATTTAGATTATTCAATGTGTATTATATTAGGTAAAATATTAAAATTGTAAAGTTCTAATCTTTTTTAACAAAATAATAAATATTATATAGGAATTCAACAAATTAATAATTTTAACTTTCTTCATTAAAAATTATAACCGTTAATTTTGTGAATATTTAAATAATAGTATTATTCAACCAGCTCGGCTCAGTTCGATTTGGTTGGTCACGCGTGTTAGATTCAAATGATTTTTTATCCAAAATATTTGTTGTTTCTCTCTAATTTTTTCAAACTAAAACGTTACTTCGTGTCAAATTTTTGAACCAAACCGGTTATTTTTTGTTTCATTTCAAGTCTGAACTGAAATGGTATGTTAGGTTAATTTTGAAACGAACTATCACCGGTCGTAGTGGTTCAATGCCGTCAATTATGACGGTTCGCCGGGGGTGGTTCACCAGTTCATTATGTTCGGTTAGTGTCTATATATAGACATTAGACCCTTTATAAAACTATTCGAATTTTTCTATCCTTACTCTGCCGAAATTTTTCTAAGTTATACCTATACATCCATACACGTGCCTTAGGCTTAAGAAA